CACAGCTCACAGCAACCTCCAACTCTTGGGCTTAAGCAATTCTCTTGCCTCAGCCTCCCAAGTAGCTGGGACTACAGGTGCCTGCCACAATGCCTGGCTGTTTTTTTGTTGCAGCTGTCATTGTTGTTTAGTAGGCCTGGGCTGGGTTTGAACCTGCCAGCCTTAGTGTATGTGGCTGGTGCACTAATCACTGAGCATGGGCACTGAGCCAGATTTTTAAAACAATAACTTTTAAAAACATGTAATAAAAATAAATATGTACTTCATCATATTTAGGAAATATTTTAATAAAGAAAGAAAGCCATCCATTGTCCTAGCCTTCCCATTTTCTTTAAAGAAAATGCTATGCATCCACTGATGAGCAAAGCAAAGCAAATATGTGGCAAATGTGGCATATTTGTAAACTGTGGCAGATGCTGTAAATGAATTATAGTGTTGATTCCTATGAGCTTCAAAACCAAAACCACACAGCCATCCCCAAGTGACTTAAGTGGACATACTTGTCATCCCTACTGCATATTATAATGTATCTGAATCATAGATTTGGAATACTATATTACTCGAAATTTTATAATGGGGTAAGAGAGGTTCATTCTGAAAAAATTACCTGTTGATACTTGTCTGGATCATCAATGTATCCCATAATGATACCAAGGCTTTTGATCACAGCTTCTCTTACCAAATCTGCCTTATCTTCCATTAACATTTGTTGCAACATTGAAAGAACCAAGGAGCTACGGATTTCTTTCTGAAAATAAACGTGTTTTTACTATTTATTTACACTAAAACAAGTATAGAAAATAATAATGCCAGATAAAACTAACACTAATGTTTTGTTATATTTGCTTTAAGTTTTTACTGTTCAACCACATAAAACATAACACAGATAGAGCCAAAATATTGCCCTTGCCTTTATCCCTTCCTTTCTGAATTCAGTATTAATCATCTCTCAGTATGTTCTTATAACTTTACTAAATATGTACTCATCTCTTAAATCCTACATACTAACAGGCACTTTTGGAAAATTAACAAAGTCAACACTTTGCTACAAATAAACAATGATTCTTCTATCAGTAACTGTTCAACTCAGAATGCTCAGAGGTATAACAGCAAGAGGGATTACAAACATTCTAGCAATTAAAATATTTGCCTGGGGTACCATGAGGAAACTTTATAAAATCCTGACATTTTTATTTGTTCTAGCAGTGAGAAAAAAATTCAAAGAGGATAATGAAAGAGTGAACTTTACATATACTTTAAAAATTACACTATTTTATTATGCTAATATTTAATGTAATGCCCACCACTGCTATGACTTGACTTTATACAGAATTTTTTCCAGTTATAATAAAGAATGTTTTAACTTAATTATTAGCTGAGGCTAGAATAAAAATCCAAGTCCCTTCTATCCCACTTTGTACTATTACCACAATTTCACAAAATTTATAAAAATTTTTAAACCTAAACTTGTTTAGGTCCCTTTTACATACATAAAAATAAAGGTAAAAGATGTAATTATTATAACAAATGTCCAGTACAGTTTGCTATGTAAAGTTTAATAGATATTTTCAAAGTGCCTGGTTTTCATTTTGACTTTTAGAAATAAAAACACATGCAAGTTTAGTGAATTTTAAATACATCTTGGTACAGCTGTGTTTTACCTGTTAGGCTAAAAACTGTCCTAAAAATGCTATAAATACCTTTATTCTTGGTTGATACTAGCACAAAGCAATAACAGAGGTAATAAACTTCAGGTGGTAATTTACTTCACATTGATCTAGGCTGAGGTAACTGTAGTAACTAGAGGACTTAGTCTAACCACACTGAGAAATTGCTGATGAGTTGAGGTCTTGCTGCTACTAGTTACCCGTGGGGTAGAAAGCAAGTACAGAAACATTTTTCTATTATCAATACTACTTAGCATTCTAGGAGTAGACTACAATATCTTACTTATCCTTTGAGAGCAAGCAATGCTCATCCGTCTTGATGCTTAAACTCACCCATATTAATATATCTACATGATTAATCATAACAATCAGATATGTTTTCTCTCATTAGACAGAAAATCATTTAAAAATTTCATCATGCCTAGTTCCTGGTGAAGGTATGGGAAAATAAGACCTCCAATATACTGTTAATAAGAGGATAAATCCATGCTATTTTGGTTGGATGATTAAGCACTGCCAAAATAAAAAACAAATGCTAAAAGCAGTGAGATACAGAGGTGTTGATAGTAGGAGATATTTAAAAAGTGAACAGATACCCACACAAGAAACTGTCAATAGGGTTTACACGGCCAGGTGCAGTAGCTCACGCCTATAATCCCAGCACTTTGGGAGGCCAAGGTGGGAGGATCGCTTGAGGCCAGGAATTCAAGACCAGCCTGGGCAACATAGCGAAACCTCATCTCTACAAAAAATGAAAAATAAAAAAAATTAGCCAGGTATGGTGGTGCATGCCTGTAGTCCCAGCTACTCAAGAGGCTGAGGTAGGAGGCTCACTTAAGCCTAGGAGTTTTGAGCTATAGTGAGCTATGATCATGACACTGCACTCCTGTCAGTGTGATAGAGTGAGATCTCATTTCTAAAAAAAGAAAAATAAATAAATAAAAGTAAAATATAGTGCTTACATTCAGGTACTGAGAGTGGGATATAAAACATTGCATACAGTACAATTAATGCTGGGTAAAACCTTTTTAAAGGATATTTTTTCTCCTCAAAGTATTAATTAAAACCTATTGATAGTGGATACCCTTGGAGATAGTGACTAGGAGCAAGAGAAGAAGTCTTTGATTTTTCTTTTATTCTTCTCATATTATATGAACATTTATTTTTAACAAAATAAAAATAAATACTTATTCTAACTGGGCCTGAGACTATAAACTATTTGTTACATTTTTCTTTTGAATTAAAGAACCCATTGTAAATCTCTGAGTAGATTGGGTTACTACTGGTTACTCTTCATTAAGGAATACAATGTTAACAGTAAATGGAACTAAATAGCCCAGGCTCTCCTGTACAATTAATAGCTTTCTTTAAGAACTACCTTACAAAAATGACCTTTTAAGACATGGGTCAGCAAACTTACTATAAAGGGCCAGATGGTTTATACCCTGCTTTGGTGCCCTTAAAGATCTATGTTACAACTACTCACCTCTGTCAATATAATACAAAATCAGCCTTAGACAATACATGGTTGTGGCTGTGTTCCAATTAACTTTATTTATAAAAACAGGCTGTGAGCTAGATTTAGTATTTCAAAGCATTCAGAACCCCTGATATAGTTTAATTTAAAGTTCTGCTTTAAATTACTAATTGTTTAAATTAAATTAATTGTGATGCCACATTATTTTCTCTATCCATTCTAAGTCTCAGACCTACGGGGAAGATTCCTATAAGGCAGTGGTTCTCAACCTTCCTAATGCTGCAACTCTTTCATACAACGTTGTGCTGGGGTCAGCACAATAAGAGGAACTGTATGAAAGGGTTGCGGCATTAGGAAGGCTGAGAACCACTGCTATAAGGGCATAACAGCCAGTGATTATTCATCTTTCTGGTGGCAGAAATCCTTTATTAAATTAAAATTAGTGAGTACCTCAAATAGCTTTTGTTTGAGAGGGTAATATTTATTGACAATTATCATACTATAAGTTAAAACTGAGAAATTTAAAAATATTAAATGTTAGCATTTTTATGAAAAAAATATGAAACAAACAAACAAAAAGTCAATGAGAGGAATGGTATTCAATTACATTTTGTTCCAGATCTCTTTCATGTCTGACTTAAAAGAAGACAGGCAATTTTCTTACCTGCTTTGCATTCAATTTATCCTGATATATTGTTTTGGTTGAAGTATTTAAAAGTTCATCTGGCCTATAAAGAATATAAAAAAGCCAGGTACTATATTTTGCTGTGCATAATGTTCTCCTGTGTATAATGCACACCTACATTTGGGCCCTGAAGAAAATAATTGGCTCTTGGCCAGAAGAGACATGTCTAGAGAGGGCTAAAGCTCCCCTGATAAACTCCCAGATTGTACTACCTTCCTGCAGCTGTCAATTGTGTTAAGGCTGCCTCTTCCCTCTTTGTCACATGAGGGGCTGCAGCCAAAATGACCACGTGAATGGCTGACAAGGTAAGAGCTTCTGACTCTGCTTGGCCTGCAGACAGCCGGGTGGCTTCTTGGGGACTGTAAGGGGATCCTGGTCCCCTCCATGCAGTTGGGCCATGGACCTTGTCCCTCACAATGGTGGCCCACATTCTTAGCGCCACTCCTGCCCTCTCCCCTGATCAAGGCTCTTCGTGGAGGCCACTCCACCCTATTCCCACTAGATTCCAGACCTTCTGACTAGACCCATGAGAATCTGAGGATATCAGGTATGAGGGTGTAGTGGGCCTGGGAGGCCTGCTGGACTTCCCTGCTGCCAAGCTGCACTACCCATGTATAGCACACATCTTTATTTTTCTTAAGAAATTTGAACAAAAAAGTATCCATTTTGTCATTATACATGGCAAAATATGGTAACTGGAAGGGTAGAGGAGTATTTCAATGGTCTTTTCAGATAAAAAAAGCCTTTTTAATTTTATACCGAAATTAGACAAATGGTAATTTTTTAAAAGGTTAGTTGGAGTTTGAAATCTGAAACTATGATATGGTTTAATGATAAACTTTTAAAACTTTGGTTGATAGACTGAATTCTACTGGTATATCTTGGACTTTGAACACCTCTATTTTAGTCCATGTGTTGGTCATTATAGACCTTCTTTAGTATTGATACATTTCATTAAAAATCATAAAAAAAATCCACTGATCTCATCAAAAAAGTCTTTATATACTTAGAGGCTATATAAGTTCCCCTTATATTTGGGGATATAAGTTTCCCCAAATTCTAGTTCTCACTTATAAAAGCTCTAATTTTACTGTTGTGAACAAATGCTGTCTACTTGTTTTCCTTAAAGTGACAGGTTTACTTCATCCAATTTCATGAAAATGATTGCCACGTATCCCTGTCTGAACAACCATAATTAGTTTGACTATCAGTGGTTGGTCAAATAACATTGGTGGTTCCATGAAATAAAGCAGCCAGTTCAGCTCACAACTCAAACAACCATATGAATACTTTTCTTACAAATAGCTATCAAACTACGGCGTGCAGCAAAAGGGTTTTAAATGAGTACTTTATATTTTGTCTTACAGATTAAAAAGACACATGCTTATGATTTAGTAAAATTAATAATTTTACTGACTCAGCAAGCTTCTTTTTAAGTGAAATTGGCTTTTTTGGTGAATGCATGTTAGTGAAAGATACAATCATTATTAGTCCATTTGGGTGTCACTGCCCTGATTAGTGCTAATACACCAACCAGCACTTTTGTCTATCACTGCTTTTGCATCGACAGTTCAAATATCAACACAGTGAAAAAGATAAAAATATGTCTCATGAAAGTAGTTTTCACCTCATGGACTCTTTTGAAAGGACCCCAAGAAACTCCCCTCCCCAATACCCCTCGGTTCTTAGGTCTCTCAGAACTGCTGATATAGTTTAATATATTTATACTCTTGCAAATTTAGTGGTAATATACCTATCTGTCTGCAATGCCATGTTGTACTAATGTGAGTTTTCCTTTTTGAGCTCATCTTATTCCTTTATTAAAACACCATGCCTAGGAGAATTGGATTAAAATATCTACGACACATGAAAAAAGATTTCTCTGTTATAACAAAGGAAAAAAGTGGCAATTCTTACAGGAAGATAAGGTGCCAAGGCTCCACAGGATTCTGCCACAAGCAGTCTTCTTTCTGGGTATTTGTGATTAATCTAGAGTAAAAAATAAATAAATCAAGCCTATATAACATACTCTCCCTTCTTCCAACAGAGAATTAGTCTTTACCACAAATCCTGTTAAGAATGCAATAAAGCTTCTTCCTTTTCCACTCTGGGAATCCCTGTGTGACTATATCTGGATCAGGAATAAGGGAATCAGGGACAGCCTAAAACATGAAGACAAATGGGTCATCTGTTAAAGAAAAAAGGGAAAACCAAAGATGAAAATTTGGCAAGGTGCCTAGAGATCACGGGTTTGTGTAAAATCAGGCTTTCCTTGGGACGTCAAGAGAAATCAGGACTTTTCCCTAGTAATATTAGTATGTGTTTAAATTTGGAAAACTCAGCTTCTGGATCTTATAGGTATGGTCATAATATGTGCTGGTGTTTTTTATTTTTAATCTAAGGAATTAGGAAGTTAATCAATGATTTAGGCAGAGCTCTTACTAGAAATTTGATTTTATTTTTAAAGTAAGTAGACTTCAATCCATTCCTCTGTTTGCATTTGCAAAATGACAGGGTTTTGCTATTGTGATAACTGCACTGAACCATAACAAAAATAACAAAAAAAATGACACATACTGGGTTTTGTTCCCATATGTCTTCTTCATAGAATATAAATCTTTCATTGACTGGAAAAGAAGTATATCTGTTCTCATATTCCCATATGAAAAGGTGACATAATTCATAAATGTATTGGATGCCTAAAATTAAGAAAAAAAATTATATAATAATCTACTGGGCACCAAACTAGAGGTAGGTGGCTAGATAGATCCTTGATATCAATACTTATTCATTCACCTTACAGAACTGGTAGTAGAGATGTTTTTAACTGACATCTCTGAATTAAATTTGATCCAGTTGTGGTTACCTCAAAAGCAGAATGGGCTAAGTGTCAAAGTATGCTGTACATAAATTTTCATTTGCTTTTCTTTAGTCTAGTTCAATAAGTCTAAAAATTAAATGTACATATGGAAATCAATTGCATTTCTATTTATTAAGAAAACAATTCCAGAGGCCATGGCGGGTGGATTGCCTGAGCTCAAGAGTTTGAGACCAGCCTGAGGAACAGTGAAATCCTATCTCTTAGAAAGAAAAA